CCCTCATCAAACCAGATATAAAAATGGGGCAACTGAATGCTGGAGAAAATGTGGATCTGAAGAAGCACACCATTATCATATCTTTTGGGATTGCCCTAATTTAAAAAACTATTGGCTGGGAATTCATAAAACTCTTTGTGATGTCTTTAAGATAACATTTAATATTAATTTTGCAAATTTGTAAAGCCTCTAAAAGCGCTATTAGCGGCCAGCAAAAAAATCAATAACCAGGAAGTGGCTAAATCCAACTCCCCAAACACTTGAGGATTGGTTTAATTTAGGGTGACCATATTTTGATTTCCAAAAAAGAGGACACTTGTGGCTCAGTCATGAAGAACTTGCTTAAAGAAACATATTTAACATATTTAAACAATGCCTTCTCCGTGCGGTTAATGAGTTGTGAAACTGTCTATCCCATCTGTGAGCGCAGAACAAGCAGTGTTGCCAACTCCCCAGTAAGGAAAATCGCTATTCGCTGTCCTAAATGTCGCTAGAACTCACTAAATTATGTCTTTGCCTAATTTGCATAATTTGTCATGCCCACATAATTGTAACAGATGCTGTAGGAGAGAGAAATAACATTGTGGAAGAGATGTAAAGTGAGTAAAAAACACCCCAAAGTATTTAGAATATGTTTAGAACTACAATATAAATTTCTTTTAGCAATTATTGTTTTTTAATGTCACAATTCCAATCCTCCCCCTTTATCTGGACTTGGGACCGGCAAAAGTGACCCGAAATAGGCAACTTAGCGGAGTTACTTTGTGTGTGTGTGCGTCTTTTTAAGTAGTTTTAAACCTTGTGATCCATAAAACGTAACAATAATAGAGGAACATTTTTAACCATTAACAAACAAAATGGACATAGCAAGCCTCACCAGACAGCTTCAGTCGAAATCGGATGTACAAGATGGACTTAAAGCTCTGCAAGGACATCTGATTTCTAAGTTTTCAATGATGAGAATGATGTATTTTTGTGCCTTGATTTATTTTAGACAAAGAAAATGTACATTTACTGCTTTGATTCATTTGCACTTTTTAGGCATAAGGGTAAATATCTCCTGCTCTGACATCAGCTAGGGGGGATAAAATAAATTTTCAAGTTAAAATAAAAAGCAAAAACAAACCCCCCCCCAAAAACCTAACTAAATAACTATGCCGGCCAATTGGTTATAGCATTCCATGTGTGCCCTGCCTGCTAGCATCCTACCTACACCATGCTGTTATGCTATCTTTACACAGCCTTCACCTGGGGTCTTGCCTGGTGTGATAGACCCAAGCCTCCATGGATCTTCTGCTCTATCTATCTATCTATCTATCTATCTATCTATCTATCTATCTATCTATCTATCTATCTATCTATCTATCTATCTATCTATCTATCTATC